GATTTGAACAGCCGAACTGCAGAACTGCAGTCAGCTGAAGTAGCCTGCAGTGCTGCATTTAACCACTGTGCCACCTCGTTTTCTGCGCAAACCCACACCATAACAAACTCTTGGTTGGCTTAATGACCACCACAAAAAAATGTAAAATTGTATTAGTCAGATGACTGGCCACTTCGACTGTTTTAACAAAATGACTGTAATGGGCGGGCTCGAGTACAGTTGCATGTCAACAACTACCTGTTAAGGACTTAATAATTAGGGATTTTTCTTAGGTTGGAGGAACAAGTGATATTGAAGTTAATGAGAAGAAAGACAGAGTCACTGATGCCCTGAATGCCACTCGTGCTGCTGTAGAAGAAGGCATAGTCCTAGGTGGTGGCTGTGCGTTGCTCCGTTGTATTCCAGCATTGGATGCTTTGACTCCAGTCAATGAAGATCAGAAAACTGGTAAGTTAATACCAGTTACTAGCACTTACTTGGACACTTAAGATTTTAAGTAACTTCCAAATTTCCTATAGTGCGCTCTCTTCTCCCCCGTGTAGCTGTCTTTTCTCACCTTCAGAAACTTACTTCAACTATCGCAGAGCTTGTTGAGAGCTGGAAAAATAGATAAAAGGATCTTACAAAATTAACTTCCAGGTACAGACTGGAAATTTTATACTCGGAAGTCTTCATTTGGAAAGATAGGCAATGTATCTGAATAACGGTCAATGTTGGTTCCATCATCAGCAGTGAAATTAGTGTAGTTCTGTTTTTATAATAACCAGAACTCATTCATTTTAGGCATAGAGATTATAAGAAGAACACTGAAAATTCCAGCTATGACTATTGCCAAGAATGCAGGAGTTGAAGGATCACTGATTGTTGAGAAAATCATGCAAAGCTCGCCTGAGATCGGTTATGATGCAATGCTTGGTGACTTCGTGAACATGGTAGAAAAAGGCATTATTGACCCAACAAAGGTAAATACCAAATTTTCCCAATGATTCTGGGATGGCGCTCTTAGTGTTTCAATCTTTTACAGAATACTCTTAATCCATTCATAGGTTGTGAGAACAGCGCTGATGGATGCTGCAGGAGTAGCTTCCCTTTTATCTACCGCTGAAGCCGTTGTAACTGAAATCCCCAAAGAAGAGAAGGATGCTGCTGCTGCTATGGGAGGAATGGGGGGAGGAATGGGAGGCGGTATGTTCTAAAGCCTAGGCTACATGGATGTGTATATCATGAACTACAATGCATGACTTGATAGTTTAAGAGAACCTTGGGTCAGAGTCAGAAAAGATGGATAGTGACTGCAGAAAAGGGTCTGTGCTTTAAAAAAAAGAAAAGAAAATCACTGTAACATTCAGTTACTGCATTTCAGTTGTATGATTGTTTACAGTCATTGTCCATGCCTACAGATAATTTATTTTGTACTTTGAATAAAGACATTTGTACATTCCTGATATTGGGCGCAGATCCATGTACCAATCTTGTGCTCTGAACTTAAAACCAGTTGAAGCACTTGCAATTCTGCTAAATAAGACTTTTATTGGTGCCTGCTGTCACTAAAAAATGCAGAAGTCATTGTGTGCAAGACTGAATAAAATTGTGTACAAAGTAGACAAATATACAATTATGTGACAAACTTTATGTAATAAAACAATTGCTCTAAGGTATGGTATGTATTAACTTATTCACAACATAATCTGTTCATCCCAAGTTTCCAAGACAATATTTTTTGGATTTCATAGCCAACTACAATAACTAATTATTAAAGTCTTATTTTTCAAGGAAAGGTTATTTTTCAAAAGTTAAAACTTTCATATAAAATAGTTGTCAAGTTATTTTTCTTCAACTACATGAAAACAGAAAGCAGAGTGATTGAGCTGCCTTTCTAGTACAAAAGTTTTGATAACATTGTGACTGAAATTAGAACTGCACTGAAGCCACTTAGAATCCAGCTGTACTTCAATTTGATCTACAAACTTTTCTTGCCTGAGTAACCATTTTTCATGATTAAGGCTCCAGAGAGTTAATTTGATGATGGGGCTTATGACCATTGTGAAACAGTTTGTAGTAAGGAATACAGCTGACCATCGATTACAGTACTCTCACATTTATGAAAATAAAAAATGAGAGGAGTGTATAGTATCAAAAATAGTCATAGGGCAAATAGTATGTTTATGAATCAAGCTAGAATCATCAAACTGTATTACAAATGGTGAGTACAGCAATATATAAAATTATAAAGATGTTAAATTCAAATACACTGTTTTAACTATAGTCACATATAGTTAATGCCAAAGTTACAGAAGCCAACTCTGGCAAACAGTGGTATTCTTTTTACTGTTTATTCCTAATTTGTTTTCCAACTATGGAGAAAGGTGGGGAATGTGCTTTGTTAGCACTGTCAGTTCTGCTGGTAGGAGAGAGCCATAAACCCCCCAGGCATTATGGTTTGTCATTAACTGGAACGTTTTTTAAAGCTAGAATTCATGATTATTCATAGAAGACCCCTAGTATAGGTAAGTTACCTGTTGGAACCTTGCAACAGTTTACTACAGTACCATATTAAATAATGTACTGATGAATCTGAGCCCTTTCTGTAGGATTCATACAACTTACTAAAATACTGCATATTAAGTTTGTTACTAAAGTTTATGCACTACAAAAACTTTTGTTTATAGAAATGCACACTGCTTGTTAAAAGCTAGTTTTGAATACTAAAAATAACTTAAATATGCATTTAAAATAATAACTTAACCTTGATTTCAATAGTAAATATTAAACATTTTGTCAAAATAAGGCTATAGATCTGGTAACAGTGCTGAGTTTTATACACGCTGAAAAGATGAGGAGAGGCCATTGTAAATGTAGCTGCCACTCAGTGAACTTACCAGCACCTTAGAATTGCACTTGACTGAAGCTTCTATGTACACCTGCATCTTAACATGCATGTTTTATACAGTAGTATTATACATAATTGGCAAAAAATGCCCCATGTAATTGGAAGCCCACATGAGAAAAACATCTCTCATGTGAAGATGGTGTCCCAAGAAATGTCAAAACTACTTTATGTATGATGCACTTCATGGAGCATTAACTCTCGAGGTATTGTAGTTTCTGGACCATAGAGCTTGCCTGCTCTTCTTTCAAATGCAGCTACCATCTGTTTAACAACTTCATCAAAGAACAATGTGGCAAGCTGAGAATGCAGAAGGGAGCGAAACTCAAAAGAAATCTGTAAAGGAAAACAAATTATCAGTCACCCTCAATGATTAAGATGAGTAGGCAGTTGTTCTTATGTTAATCTACCCACATTGGGAAATAGTGGCTAGTTATAAGTTCATAAGAAAATTTGGGCACTCATTTTCTGCAATTTCAATCTAATATTTGTAGATTACAATTTTCTACCCATGAATCATTTTATCTTCATTAACCTTAATTGCCATTCAGGTTGGATGGTACTGCTCAACAATATATAGACAAAATCAGTACCACAGGACTTTCAACAAAGTCACATTAATTTACTTCCCAGTTATAGTAGTCTGCACACAATACAATGCTTTCTTAATTACTTTGTCTTTTGTATCCCTTCTCCCACATAATCATTCTAGTTTTGCTATGTTCTATGTATTTCCAATTCAAAATGCTTCGTGCTCCTTTGGGTATGGTGGGGGCATTCCAAAGCTCCTGTCTGTAACTGAAAGCAGCTGTGCTTTCTAGGGTTACACAGCTGTCTTGCAGTCCAGTCCTAAATACCATTTAATCTAAGGAAGTGC